AAAATATGACGTTGTAAATAAAGGAAAAGGGAAAAAACCCTGGAAAAATGACCAGATGAATACTGATTATGCTCCAAAAGATACAGACTACTGAGAGCAGCTGAGCATCAGGTGAAGGGGGAGATCTTCCTTGCAGTCTCCCGGCCTGTATATGTTGAACAGGGAACTCTCGGAGTTCATATTATTGTAGCTATTCAGCTGTCATTGGTTCAAATTCCATTTCTTCCGCTTCAGATAAGAGACATGTAATACATCAGATTCAAATTCACTACTAAACGGAAAGAGATTTGGTATACACCTAGATCAAAGTCCTTATGTTTTCCCTCATGGCACTGGAAGAAGCTCAAAAATTTTTATCTCAGCAAAAACATATCCTTTTGGTGCCTTACACAGTGTTTTGGGGCCTCTGGTTTTCAAGTGTTTTTGACCCATGTCTGTGTTCTTGCCTCAGGCTTCCAAGCCCACTGGTCCCTTGGAAAGCAGGGACTTACTCTGCTGACTATGGCTTGGCAGGGTCTAGAGTACAGATGTGGGCAAGATCTGGAGCTGGGTATGAAACACAAGTTTATTGGCCTTGCAAACCAGTTGATCCAACAAATCTCCATCTAAAACAGGCTGGGGAAAAGCAGCCTCAGCTGTTCTGAAGGCAGCTGCTGGAATTCACCTGACTAGTTTCTACTGGGCACAGATTTGTGCTGGGGATTCAGCGGATTAAAGCAATGGTCGGGGGTTCACAGGCTAGAGCTCAGAGCCTGGCACAGGATCTTCTCTTGGCTGCATTTCTGTGAGCCCACTGCCTCTGCTGTTTCTGCTGAGTGGAGGAGAATCCTGGAGGACTAACGGTCTAGTCCCTGGTCTGGCATTGCTGCCACATAGCTATCCCAGGATATGAGAGGGCAGCTGGAGGTTCTGTGGAGGAGCCTTAACAGCAGGCTCTTTGAGATTGCCTGGAGCTGAGGAGGTCCAGAGTCTGAGGGTCATTCTGACTTCCTCAGGTGACATTCCTGGTTCATTGGGCTCCCCTTCTAAAGATTCTGAATCTGCGTCTGTAGACCGCCCAATGGAGTCCATGAGAATACATGCAGTTGGGTCCATTATGAAGACATGGTTGAGACTGTCGAGTCAATATTTGAGAATAAAAATGGCTATTATTCATCGTGGAAGGAAAAACAATGAACTCTTCAGCTGAAGTGTGGATCAGCCTTCTCTTCATTAAGTGCTCAGGATAATAAATTTGGATTCTGACAATCCATTCCTACACATTTCCTATCATCAAGGACCATTGATGGTCTTCATCCAGTTATTGCTAATAATGGTGAATTCACATATCCATACCATTTAACATTTAAATAGCTTTTTAATTAGCAAAATGAGTTTCACTACTGAATATAAGACAGGTTGTTGGTGGAGCAGGTTGGTTAATAAAATGTATTATATGTTCCAGGAGATCACCAGTCTAACTCTTGTCTCTGACACAAACTCACTACAGAGGCCTTACACAATTTGCTCTCTCTCAGCTTACCCTATCTTGCAATGAAGGGATAATAATGCCACCAGCCTAGCTTAAAGGCCGTTGTAAGAATTACAAAGATAACCTGAGTGAATGAGTTTGAATGCTGCAAGTGGTGTATAAGTGTTAAATGTTTACAAGCATCTCATACTGACTCATACCAAGATATGCCTCTGTGTTCCCTGTTCTTTGCAGAAAGGGCAGAATTATGTAGAAGGGCCTAGTTATAGCAAAAGGCATAAAAATGATATTTAGATCTGAATGAAAAATTGAAGCAAAATGTAATTATAGCCATTTAAAATGGTCTTAAAGGAGCTGCGGTGGCTCAAGTGGTTAAGACGCTGAACTGCAGGTTGTGGAAGGTCAGTAGTTCAGCAGTTCGAGTACCGAGTTGCCGCATGACGGAGTGAGCTCCCGTCTCTAGTTCCAGCTCCTGCCAACCTAGCAGTTCGAAAGCAAGAAATTGCAAGTAGATAAATAGGTACCACTTCGGTGGAAAGGTAACAGCGTGCCGTGCGCCTTGGTGTTTAGTCATGCCGGCCATATGACCATGGAAACGTCTTCGGACAGCGCTGGCTCTTCGGCTTTGAGACGGAGATGAGCACCGCAACCTTAGAGTCGGACTCAACTGGCTTTCAAGCAAGGGAACCTTTACTTTTAAGACGGTCTGCCTGGCAATAATTCACAAATATGCTGAAAATATATAGAGCTATATTTCTCTCTTTTTAACAACAGCGCTTAGAATGTGCTGAGGTCACAATGAACTCTTTCAGCATTTCAACTGTGAAGCCGTCATTACATTGTAATTCCATAAATCACGAAACAATACACATAACCACATGTACTTGGGGAAAGAAAACCCCAAATAGAAATTAGCTGAGCCTGAGGAAGGTCTTTTGACAACTGTCATTGGCAGAGAAATTATGGCAAAGACTGTCCATTGGGGGCAATTAAATTATTTCCCACATTGTTTAAACTCGGATGTTTTACAAACAGCCTCCTCATTTGAACCTGCTGTTCACAAAATATCCATACATTTCCAACTCAAAACTCATGCTGTCTGTTTGTATTCGTGCAAGCCAGTGTCCCTTGCCATCTGGGAGGGGCTGGGCTGTGCCAGCTGCTAGGGTTGGTGGCACCTAAGAAAGAACCATGTAGCTGAAGTTTAGGATTCCATTCCTAAACATAATGGATGAGATACGAATTGGTATCAGGCTGTGCACTGCATAGGCTATTAGTACTCATGTGCATACATTTAGACTTAAGTGAGTCCATTTTTAAATTTCTGGAGACTGTTTGGTTGGGAGCTACAGCCAGGGCCAGGACTCACTGGGGGTCCTGATTGTGGCCCCGCGGGGGGGGGGGGGGGGGGCAGAGAGGGAGGTGGCAGCTACTGCGGTTCTCACTAGCTGGGAGGGGCTGGGCCGTGGCAGGTGTGGGAAGCATGGACCAGCCTCTTGGCCCCTGCCGGCCTATCCTGGGGGCTGGAGGGGGGAAGAGGGCATCCAATCCGGCCATTTAAGGCACCGCGTTGCCCCGGCCACCCTATTTGCAGTGTGGATTTTTGCCTGCCCTCCCTCCCTTTTCTTTTCTATATAATTTTTTATTTGGTTTTAACACATTAGCACTGAGGTCAGGGACTCAGAATTGCCTGGCTCCCCCTGGCCCTAGAGACGCCAGGTTGACCTAGAGCCAGGGCCTTTTCAGTGGTGGCTCCACACTGGTGGAATGAGCTCCCGGATAACATCAGGGCCCTGTGGGGCTTTTTACAGTTCCGCAGGGCCTGTAAAATGGAGCTCTTCCACCAGGCTTTTGATTAGGTGCCACCACTGACGAATGCACCACCGGAACGTACGACAGCCCACATGAAACATCGGTGGATATTGCCTTCCTCTGTATATTGAATGCCGCCATCATTTGCATCCTCCTTGTTAGAATTCTATGATGTTAGGTTATTGTATTTACTGTTTTACTGCTTTTAATGTTTGTCCACCACCTTGAGCCAGTTCCCTGGGAAGGCGGGATACAAAATGAAAATAATAAATAAATAAATATTATAGGAGGGTATGAGCTACCCTTTTCTAGGTAGCTTTGTCTGGAGGGAGATTGCAAGCAAGATTTATGCTTCAGTTAACTTATTACTTGTCACAACACAGGCAGTAGCCAGATCCATTCTCAGGAAAGCTGGCCTGCGTGCCCATTTCCCCAAGTATAGGAATCCCCTTAAGGGATCTTGGGGTGCGGGATTCAAGAGGAACGCCCAGTCCAGGGAGACTGCTGGGGAATGACCCTCATGCTCAGGTGGTAGGAGAGACCACTTCGGGGTGGTCGCCCTTGTGGGATCCAGCGACCTGTCATCCCATGGTTCCTGCAACCCCACTGGTGGGCTGGGGTGGGCAGGGATCATCAACCGGCAGGTGGAGCAGTTGATGATCAAGATCTGGTACCTCAAGCTGTGCCAAGGCTTCTTACAGCTATAACCAATAAAGTTGTGGCCAATTTTATTTCAAAAACTGGGTTGTGCATGTGTTTGGTGTAGTGGTTAAGTGCGCGGACTCTAATCTGGGAGACCCGGGTTTGTTTCCCCACTCCTCCACTTGCACCTGGCTGGATGACCTTGGGCAAGCCATAGCTCTGATAAGAGCTGTTCTTGAAAAAGAGCAGCTTCTGTCAGAGCTCTCTCAGCCCCACCTACCTCACATGGTGTCTGTTGTGGGGAGGGGAAGGGAAAGGAGTTTGTAAGCCACTCTGAGACACCTTTGGGTAGTGAAGGGTGGGGCATAAATCCGAACTCTTATTATTATTATTATTATTCAAACCCAGGTTGGAAATGGGGTTCCTGGAGTATGGGGAATAAGGGAGCCCCTTGCCTCTGGCGCCCTCCACCTGCCTTCCCTTTGGCGCTGGGGCTGCAAGCATGAGGAAGAACAATACAACAAAATTCACGGAGGACAACTTGAAAAGTCATTCCCCAAAAGGCAAAAACCAGGGACTAAATAGGAACACTTATTTACCAGAAACAGGGGCCAGAAAATCAGGACAGTCCCTGCTTGTTGGAGTGTACAGTAAATGAGTACACATATAAATGTGTGCACACGAACACTAGAGCCTCATGCAGCGAACAGCCCGACACTACATACACTGCAGCAGCTGAAGCCTTATTTTTAAATACTGTAGAGGGGAATAACATTTTTAAAAATACATTTCTAATAGGAAAAGGTCTGTCTTTTAAACCAAAATATCAGTCTTTTTTATAAAGAAAGACTGCTGTTTTGGCTTTGAAATCAGTGAAGGGCAGGCAGTTACAAAGTAAAGCAAAACTGCAGATGGAGAACAGCCTTCAGCAATTTATATAAAAGTACCTGTGTAAGATTTTGGGCAATGATCCTTGATATGAGAACAGAGGTGTTAAAATATGTCTCTATTTCATCTCTAAAAATTTATGCTTTTCATCGGGGGGTGGGGGGAATAGCTGCTACAGTCAATGTACCTTTTTTCTCTTGTCTGACCCAGAATTCTTGCACCCGTTTTGTAATGTTCTTCGTTTCTCTCAAATGCTTCTGCCACTGACGTAATTCTTGAACCTCTAGTTCACAGCGGACCTGAAAGTGTTTAAGGGAAAAAAAGGCCCTGTAAGAAAACTGCTATAAACTTGTTCATGAAGATCTACATTTTTGTAAAGGTGTATGCAACCAACAGACATCAGCACAAGCTGCCTGAAATACGCTTGTTTCATCTTTTTAAAAGTGCCCAACAAGAATAAGATTTTTATTCAGCCCAAAGTGTCAATTTTAGATCAATGGCATAGACCCACTTATAACTGGGGAAACCAAGTCTATAAAAATTCATCTTTCCCTGCCACATCAGTGGGGTATAGCGTGACCCTTTCTGCTCTTTATTGTTGTGGTTATCAATTCATTTAAATTCTGATGCAACCACTTCTTTGGTAGAGACAATGCAGGGGTGCAGTACTTTTAAAAATTCTGTTTGGAGAGGGGACATGACTTAGCAGAAGAACATATACTTAGTATGCTTACAGTCCTAGGTTCAAAGTCTGGCATTTCCATTAAAGGATCTCATTTAGTGTTGGGATTCTTAATTTAAAGTTTGTTAGCAGAGTATTAAAGAGACAGAGTCCATGGTGTGTTTAAAAAGAATATAAAAGTTTACTACAACCTAGCATGGAAAAAAGGTACGCAGGATATAAAATAACAAAGAGCTTATATGCCTACATCCTTACAGCTAAACTGGAATGGCAGAATGGATGGCTTCTTCTTCTTGCTCAGAACAAAGAAACATAAGACTGGAAGAGAAGCCATAAAATGCTAATACTTGGCACTTTGGTTTCCAATCAGAACAACAAACTAGCTCTGAAGTTCCCGGGCTTTCTAACTGTCTAAAACAGATTGGTTACAAACAAACATTAAACTGGAGGAAGTGGGAGTGCTCAGCAGAGGAAGTGCTCAGCGGAGTGGGAGGCTAGGGGCAGGATCCACCCTCTGTCTCCTCCTTTGCCACCATGATTGTCCTGCTCTGGCCTCTGCAGCCCTCACCCCATGCTTCCCCAACCACCCCTGCTAATGGTCTTTTCCTCCTCATTCCCCAGGCTCCCAGTGCAGCAAACCATGCACACCCAAGAGGGTTCAGGAAGGTGTGTATGGCTGCCACACTGTGTTTCAAGATGGCTAAGGAACCTCCGCTGCTCCAGTTCCTAGACTGGGTTGGGAAGAGGCAGCTGGTTAGGGGCGCCTTCTGCTTAACCTCCTTAAAACTTTGGTTTTATTTACCAGGGGTAGAGCACACAAAGAGCACACAACCTGGTAGAGCACACAAAGCAGTATGCTGTGTGGAGACCTGCAGTCGTAATTGTCAGTGATAATTACTGTTTTCATGGGATTCCAAAACGGAAAAAAGAGACAAGGAGAATTTAAAAAGATCTATAAATCACATAGCCTGTGATATGTCTTCGAGGGCAGACAGTTTCCAATGCTCAAAATTTTCTCAGTGATGCTTAAGGATTTAACAGAGAGGGTTTCTTGGCTGATCAGTACTGAGGAAAGCTCTTAAATTTTTTGCCACATGCATCTCACTTCCTCTGTGGTGTCCAGGAACGTTGACAAAAGAAGAATTCCCTAGGGAGGTGCCCTAGAATCATCTCAAGAAGTGCCCTATGGAAGTATTGTAGTATGTCCTAAGGAACTGCCCTGGAATTCCTGGTGTGTGCTTTTTACATACTTGCTGACCCAGGGTAAGCAGCTAGGATAGCGTGGTAGCTCTTTCCTGCAAGGGAAGCAGTTACATGCATGCTCTTTCTCCTGGGACTTGAAAGGTCAAGAGTGTGTACGCAGCATAATGTGGCAGTGCCCTTTCTCCATTGTTCTACTGATGTCACACTACAGTCTATTCCATGCCTCGAAGTAGCTCTCCAGGGTCTCAGCTTAGTGGTCTTTCACATCACATATTACAGGAGCCTTTTCATGGGAGATGCCAGAGATTGGATCTGGGACCATCTGAACTGCCGCTAGTAGCCATAACTTAAAACCCAAAACTCTATCGTAATGGTCACATTCAGGACAGACGGAATCCAAGAGGTTCTATCAGCTGAGAACCAGGCAAAAGCATCACAGCCAGCTGCAGAACTTTCATAGTACAATAAAATAATGAAAAACAGAATGGATTCTAATATTACTCCACATAACAAAACGTTAGAGATATATTACAGGAGCTCAGCCTCTGTTATGCTCCCTTTTCATTGAAAATACCTTATAATGAGCTGCTTCCATGGAGCAGATCACAGAAGCCACACAGCAGAGCAAGGACCACTGAATTCAGAATTCAGCAGACAATGGTGCCTTGTTACGATTGTTTTCAGCTTTCCTTTATCTCAAGATGTGGGAGAGTGACACTACAGAACTGTTGTGGGCACATTTATTTCAGAAATACCCCAGACGCCAGACATCTCACTCAGCTGTGGCAGAGAGAGCAACCCCAAACACCACATTTTATTTTAGCCCTGAGGTAGTTCTGTGCTAGATCCATTGTTGATAGCCCAATGCCCTGTGCTGTGAAATGCCTGAGGAAGGTGAAACAAGACTGGTTAAGATGTCAGAGGACTCCCTGTATGCTATTTGTTTTTGTTCTTTCCCCAGGCTACAAGCACATTCCAGGATTGGGTGGTGAGTGGGAAGTGCACACCACCAAAATATTACAATGGATTACTCAAAATAGCCGCTCCTCAATAACAATTTGTTGGAGACTTAAAATGCCTAAGTTTCTGTGAGAAGTGCCACTAGAAACAGCATTATAAAATTGCTTTTAATGTTTTGATCTCATATATCTATGTATTTTTATCCTATCTGCCCTCCCATGATCCCAGGATGATGTACGTGGCTTCCCCACCCCCCACCCCATTTTATTTCAACAACTCTGTAAGGAGTTGACGTGTCAAAAGTAGGCTTTGTGGGCTTCCCAGCCCTAGTCCAATGGCATAATCTTACATAAAGAAACGTTTCTGGCACTGTACTTATTTTTGTGCTGGTCTTTGACCATGATAAACTACTCATTCAATCAATAGTATACAAAGTTACCTCCAGCTTAGGTCCATTCATTTCACTGGGTTTAAATTGGAGTTAATTCTGCATTAGGATCGCACTGTAACATTCTAACCCTTGTAACACATTCTTTCTTAATCCTAATCCAGTTTGCTTTACTGATTATTCTTCTCTCCTTCATCTGCACCTTCCAATGCATATGATGGGACATAGGAATTTTATTAGATCTCTCTTTGCCACAAAGGAGCTCGTAGCTAGACACTTTTTTTTGGGGGGGGCACCTGCCCTCGTGTCCCAATGTGGTGACATCATGTCTGACATCACCCAGAAGTGACCCTTATCCACCCACTAGGAGAGGCCTCTCCTTCTCCCTCTCTGTCCCAGCGTGGAGAATGCAGGCAGGTCAGCATGCAAGCTCTCCTCTCCCTCTGCCTCCATCCCAGCACGGCAGGGAGGCATGACACCGGGTCACCTGAAAGCGAGCTCCTCCCCCATGGCCATTCTGCCTGCCCGCCTACCTTCCATGTCGCGGGACCTTCTCGGGTGCCGCTGGACCACAAGAGGAGAAGGAGAGCCCTGCTACTCTGCCTGCCTTCTCTGCAGGACCTTCTCCCTCCAGCAGGCGGGCAAGGCAAAGCCAAGCCCGCTGCCCTGTCCAACCACCTTCTCTGCAGAAGAAGGACCTTCTCTCCTGGGAGGGATGAGGAGGGGAGAGGGGGGAACTAGGAGAGGAGGGAGAGTGAGGGGGACAGGGAGAGGATGGGCAGTGAGGGGCAGGGAAAATTTGGCAAGGGGCATTGCTTTGTGGGGCCCCGGTTAGCTACAGCCCCACCACAAAGTGGCACAGAATGGAAATCCAAGAGGATACAGTATTGATCCCCAACTAAACCACATACCAACTTGGAATTTTATTAGTTCTCTCTTTGCCACAAACTGGAACAGAATGGAAGTCCAAGAGGATGTAGTTTTCATCCCTAACTAAACCACACACCATCTTGGAATTTCTTTGTTGTGGAAAATCATCTGAGTCCCTCACACCCTTCACCCATGATAAGATCTCAATCAGCAGACAGCCTCTATGCAAACACTAGTGAAGCATCATGGTCTGGTTATTTATAGTACCTGCTACTTAAAATTTATGTAAGGGTTTTCCCCCAGGGCTTCCACAGTCACACAGATTCAACATCAAACAGAATAATAATTACAGATGACTCTTACCCGATAACCCCTCCAAAATGACTGAATTATGATGCCTGCTTCCTCCTCAGATAACAGCAGAGATATTGGAATTGGTGGCCTAGGACTAAAACAAATGTTCACTTGTCATCTAGAATTAAATATTCATTGACATTATATGTGTGCAAAGGAAAAAAGTTATTTTGAATGCAGTTTCTTTGTATTTCAAGATCAGGACATTTGTTTGGCAATAATATTATACACACACATATGTATTATGTATGTGTGTGACATTCGTGTCTGACTAAGAATCTATGTACCTTTTATTCCATAAACTTAACCTCTGCCTTTCTGTTTAGCAGAACACCCAGAATAAATACAAAGAATTCCATTATATGATACATGCAACAACACTTAACTTTCCTTAGAATCAAGAATAACACTAAAAATCTAACAGCACAAAAATCTTAAGGTAACTGCTATTTATTAGATTCAAAGGCCCTCTGAAACAAGTATGTTTTCAAGTTGCACCAGAAGCTCTGCAGGGGCAATGTCAATTGTAACTCTTGTGGCGAGATTTCTATAACCTAGAATTGGCAAGTAAGTAAGAAGGCTCTCTCATGGGTTACCAGAAGTCATTGTCTCAGATAGTGTAAGGACTAAGGGTGGGCAAAAAAAAAAAAAAAACCCTCAAAAACATCTCTGGTATTTTTCGGGTTTAGGTATATTGAACCCCCAAAATATTGGCATTTCCTGATCTTCCCAAATCCCAATACTGGTATGGTATTCGGATTTGGTAAATATTCAAGATTGCCAATTTTTTCAGTTTTATTATACACTATGGGGACCATTATAGTCAATGGTTCCCTAAAGGGTATAATGGAGAATTGATCTGGGGTTATCTGGGGCTCTGTGGGGGCTTTTTTTTAGGTAGAGGCATCAAATTTGCAGTATAACTGCTGGTGCCTCTTCTAACCCACCCACCCCAAATTTAAAAAAGATTGGACCAGGAGGTCCAATTCTATAGGCCCCAGAAGAATGTGCTCCCATCCATTGTTTCCAATGGGGGAAAGCCATTTTAAGGGAATGTGGTCCTTTTAAATGCCTTTTGCAAGCCATGGCTGAACTCTGAAGGCATTTAAAGGGCTCAAAGTCCCTTTAAACACCCTTTAACACCAGCTATCCGACGACCCCAAAAAATCCCAAATATTTTCAGGATTTTTCAGGCTCAGCTGTATCACATAGTCAGATAAATACCATGGCTGAAATCCAGCTGAAAAAATATCCAACAAATACCAGTAAGGTATTTTTCTAGTATTTTTTTGTCTCAGCTTATACCGAACATACACCCCTAGTAGGTGTCAAGAATCTCCAATCCAGGGGATTCCTAGTATGGACCAGCAGAGCACAAAATTACACAAAACTCTGGGATGTGTGCCCACACATCCCAGTTGGTAGTCTGCCACCAGCCCTTGAACTACCCACAAAGTCAGAAGTCAAGGGGTAAGCTTCTAACTTTACTGGCAATTAATTAGGAAGTTCACCGCTCAAGGTAGGTCACTTGCAGAATGAGTTTCAATAACAATTAACCTGGTAGGTGGACTCTTAAGTTCTAAGGTACTGAAATTAGACTGCAACACTTGAAAGCACAGAACACTCAAGTATAAGCAAAAGTTATTAGCGAGTGCAAGAATATTTCAAAAGAACATAGCAGAGATGACTGAAACAAATAAGCTACATTTTAAGATTCTAGCTACACAGTAAGATATTAATTCAAAGGCACCAGATGTTACCCTTCTGGGTTGGTCAGGCAGCCTTCATGTCTCTCTATCCGGAGAGCACATTCCAGGCAGAGCCTGGTCCGTTCCGAGGTTAGCCCGTCATACCTCATGATAGTTGTGTCAACCTGCTACAGCTACAACAAAGAGCAATAAAACTACCTATTTTAAGCCCTAAGATTTGACTGGACAGGGGGGCCTTCTGCCCAATCAAAAAACAGACCTGCAAAGTTATTTTGACAGGAACCTGTTATAACAAATGGCTCGGGGGGAGCCACTTTATGATGGGATGGAGAGGCTATCTGACATCTCACCCATCCCTGGAGCAGTCTAAATCAGGACATCAATTGAGGGGCACTGGCACCAGGTCCTGTTCCGGTAAACAAATGGTTCGTGAATTGTCATTTAAAGGTCACAAGGTTGATATGCCAACTTTTCCACATCAACAAGTTATTTCCCATTTGGCTACTTCAACCCATTTACTAGCCTAGAGTTTAATATAAGGCCTGCCTATGTTTAATAGAAAGAACGAGAAATTGACTAAAGGTCTAATTTCTTGACAGTAGGGACCCATAACAAGGCCCTGACTGGAGCAAATAAGTTAATGCACTTCATCAGAGGCAAGACACGAAGACTGAAGAGAGAGCTGGTGAATGACATTCTCTCTCTCTCTCTCTCTCTCTCTCTCTCTGAGAGGGGCTTGGTGAAGAAGGTTGAGCAACTTCTGCAATAAGAACAATGCTGACATGTTCCACTTCAGCAAGTGGGCCCCAAGATATGGTTGGAGGGCACATGGTGCAGCATCACTGCCCAAAGGAACGACGTCTAGAACGGATCAGTGCAAAAGCGGGAGCCTTGTGGATGCCAGAGATATGTACACTGTCTTCAGTTCCATGATGGAAGAAAAGCAATATGTAGATCAATGACAAAGCAGGATGAGAAAGCAAGCCAGCACCCATGCAAAGCCCTTTGGGAATCAGGCATGCATCAAGTAATTCCTAATTTACACGCTCTACCTTTATTTTCTGAGCAAACACAAGATTATGCTTCACTAGGAATAAGGCCCATTGTGGAAATAAATACGAGATCTAGAAAGAGGCTCTGGGAAAGTGCCCCGGCCTTGGGCACTCGGTGTCAATTTGCTGTGGCGACCTCAGCAGGGTATGACACGAAGTCCACCATTTTCTCAGGAGGAACTGATCTCCGCTACCTGAAGAACAGCTGTAATTTTGAGTGATCTCCAGCCCTCACTTGGAGATTGGCAACAATGGTTCCCCATGACGGAATGGCTGGTTTGGAGGGTGGAGTCTATGGCATTGTACCTGTCTGAGGTTCCACCCCTCCTGAAACCTCACCTTCTCCAGGTTCCATCCCTCAAATCTCCAGGAATTTCCCACCTGGAGTTGGCAAACCTATCTTCTTCCAAGCCAATCATCACCCTACCTTTATTTCTCCCTCACTCTTCAGCTTTTCACCCCCCCACCTGCAGCCTCTACCATGCTTTGAAGCCCTGACTGCTACATCACATTGGCTGTCATACAGAGGCCATCTCAGCAGGATATAAGGAAACAGAGTCCACCATTTTCTCCAGGGGAACTGGTCTCTGCCATCTGGAAAGCAGTTGTAATTCTGAGTGATTTTCAGCCCTCACCTGGAGATTGACAACAATGGTTTCTCCCAACAGGCACTAAGGGTACCTCAGAACACATTTTACCTCAGAACAGCAACAGATTGGCAAAGGCCAATCAGGCCACATATGCAAATAACCTCTGTGTTCTGACTGGCTGGGGAGGGAGAGGAACAGCAAATTATTTAGAATGTTGGAGGCGAGACTCAGGCAACGCAGCCAGTGGATAGGGACAGCTTCTGAATGACAAATCACGGAGCCAAAGGCTGTCGGGGCCTTGTGGAATGTTCAGCAGTGTGCCACCACCAACAGAGAATTATTATATAGAGAGATAACCTTGCCAAATTAGCTCTGGCCACCTCTCTGTCTTCATTTTTAAAACATGAGGCTCTGTCAGGAACTGATCCAAGACGAAAGTGAAAAGGTGTGTATAAATCAAGTCAAACTGGGAAGGGCTTAATGTTCAGTAGGGAAGTCACCGGGACATATCAATCATTTCAGCAGGCTAGCTTGAAGGGAGCAGAAGTCATGCCAGGTCCATTTTTGTCTCCAGGAATATTAGCAACTGGCTTCAGGTCAAATAAAAATAGAATATGAGCAGACGCAAGTGCCCGTCAACAGCCAACTGAGAAAGAGGGAATAAGTTATTTGTGGCAGGAGACAGCGGTGAAACTCTGAGAGGAATCAGAGCTGACAACAAAATGTATGGGAAATGTGTACAGTGTGTTTCTTTCAAAATTAAAAAAGTCTGTCTATACAGAATGCATCATTATTTTAGCTGTTATGTAATGTAGGTGACTCTTGTCTATCACAGAAGCAACAATGCCAGGCCACCCATAGACAAAAAAAAAAAAGCACAGAGGATTCCACATTTTAAAGGGTCTCCCCGGTGTGCCCCCCCCAAATTAATTATAAACTAACCAAACCGGGGGGGGGGGGCATGATGAGGACTGAGTGAATTCAAGGAAATATGCTGTGTCGAGAGCAGATGAGAGTCAGTTGAAAAGGTGGGGAAAAGAGCAGGCAGGAGAAGTTTAGCCTTCTGAAACTCCTTATAGAATCCCAGTGGAGACTTTGGAAGTGGGAGGATTTTCAAATTCCCACAATTCCTTGCAGGTCTTCAGCTTCCGTACATTTCTCTTCACTAGAGAGACTTAAATACTGAACAGTCAGACCTGTATTACATTACCAACCCCCCTGGCAGATCCTAGAGCAATAGCTTGCTTCTTGCACACACCACCACAGCCAGGGGGATCATGAGTCTTTAAAGACGTGTCACCAGGAGAACTGCTGGCACCAAAACTACAGCTTACAAATCATGGAATGGTACCATGATGGGCCTGGGCAGTCTTTGCCGGTCAGTTTAGGACTGCAGTCAGGCATGTCAAGGTAATTTTTTTCCTACCAATACTCCTACCAGTTGCCAGACCAGACACAATGCAGGGAGGTCTGTGATCAGGTCTTCCCAGGTCTTTTAAAATGAAAATTGTAGCTATCTGGGGTCCTGATACAGACTGGGGCTGCAGTACATGAGGGAAAGGAAAGTTTTATTCTTCCATCCCTGTGAGGTCACTAGTTTGGAAAGGAAAAAAGAGAAAAAGGTGCCCATTCTTGATGATCCCTTCCAGGGTTAACACAACAGGGCAGGAAAGGATGGGCTGTTGGTTTCCATCAGCAAAATTGCACAGTGGATAGGAGTTCAGTCCCTCTTTCTGCATGGCT